CCCCACTCTCCTCCCCCCCACTCTCCTCCCCCCCACTCTCCTCCCCCCCACTCTCCTCCCCCCCACTCTCCTCCCCCCCACTCTCCTCCCCCCCACTCTCCTCCCCCCCACTCTCCTCCCCCCCCCTCTCCCTGACCACCTCTCCACTCGCTTTCCCCCCCTTTTTTTTAAAAGGGAAGTTTCGGTCAGATTTATGATCCAAAGCCGAATGGTCTGCTGTGTGGGCATCCGGGGGGAGTGACTGTGGAAAGCCACGAAGCTGCCGGACCATGCCTGCTGGACCATGCCTGCTGGACCATGCCTGCTGGACCATGCCTGCTGGATCTTGCTTGTAGGCTGAACCCTCATATCCGCCCCTCCCTTTGCAGCACCAAGCCCGCCATGCTTCATGCCCTCATGCACCCAGCCCGGTGCCCTCATGCCCCCTCGTGCGTTCATGCCCCCATGCCCCCCCTCATGATGCCCCCAGTGGCCCCCACGCCACTAATGTTCCTCCATGACCCCCTATGTCCCACATGCCCCCCACGCCCCCCACGCCCCCCATGCCCCCATGTCCCCCATGTCCCCCATGCCTCCCATGACCCCCATGCCCCCCACGCCCCCCATGCCCCCCATTCCCTCCACGCCCCCCATGTGCCCCATGCCCCCTATTCCCCCTCTGTAGGAATGTGAGTGGCAAGCAGTTGGAGGGACCCATTTCAGATGCCATTGGGAACCTCACCGCACTCACTCTACTGTACGCCGCACCATGCCATGAGAGGCCATGCCGTGAGAGTCAATGCCATGAGAGTCCATGCCTTGCGAGTCCATGCCTTGCGAGTCCATGCCATGAGAGTCCATGCCATGAGAGTCCATGCCATGTAATGCTATGCCATGCGAGCACATGCCATTCGAGGCCATGCCGTGCAATACCATGCCACGTAATGCCATGCCATTCATGCGAGGACACGCTCGTGTGTGGACCGATGCATCAAAGCATGCAACTGTGAGTTCCATCCACCCCTGGCAGTCCCATCTCCACCATGCCATATTCAACCTCTTCTCACTCCTTCCTTGCCTCACACGCCTCTGCCGCACTACAATCGCAAGGCCAACCACTCCCAAGCCATGCATGCGTGTCTCCCAGGTTCAACCTCTTCTGATTCCGTTCTTGACCCTGCGTCTCAGAACTCGTTTGCCTCCCTGCCCGCCCTGCATACAACTCCCCTTCATCCAGGTCTCTCACAAGCACCAAGCTCACTAGTCTCTAAGCTCTCAGATCTGATTTGCTCTCACATCTCGTTTGCCTCCCTCCCTCCTCGCCCAACGTACATCTTCCCTTCATCTAGGTCTCTCACAAGCACCAAGCTCACCGGCTCTCTTCCAGCCACTGTGTCTCGCCTCACCCGCTTAGAAGAACTGTGAGTAACATGCACGCAGGACTTTTGAGGCGCCTCTATACTCTTCGAACGCTGGGTTTGTTACAAGCTGAGGTGTGTGCGTGTGTGTGTGACTACATGCATGATACCGGTGAGTTTCAATTCAACTTTCTGTACAAGGTCATAGTATAGTACACACGCATGGTGATGGTAGGATGGATGGTGGTGCAGGCTCACAGTCAATCAGCTCACTACTGGCTTCTGTGCTATGTTGCCATGAGATGCCATGACACGAGAGGCAGTGACACGAGATGCCGTGACATGACATGATTTTTCGCCCTGTTCCCCCTCTTTTCCCGCATCCGACTGGCATGGCAGGACTCTCAGTTTCAACAGTTTATCAGGCTCCATCCCACAAGGCATTGCTGATCTGGCTGCTCTCTCTCTCCTGTATGCTTCCATACCCCACCTTGTCCATCGACCATGCCATACATGCCACATGCAAGTAGCCACATACCCACCCTCCCCCCCAAAAAGGGGCCCGTTTGAAAAACATAACCGAAAAACAAAAATCCCGGGTTGTGAGTCTGCGCTGACAACACGCTACCATAACCGACTCGACCCACCTGACCCTACTAGCGTTGTCCCTAATCTTCTGCTATTGAGGCAGTACCTCCTCTTCCACCTCCACCTCACCCACCTAATCTCCAAGTTTTCTACCAGCCCGTGTTCTTTTTGCCTGCCCGCCTAAGCATCAAACCGGGGAGGGACGGGGTCAACAGATCACCCAGGGGGCGTCAGAGGGTCTTGACTTGACCCTAGCGTTTTGATGTCAGCGTCAAAACCGTTTGTCCCGTCAATTCCACCACAGCTGAAGACATTGCGGTTGGTTGGAAAGGGCAGATGTTGGGGCTCTCGACGTCAGGCTCTCGACATCAGGCTCTCGACTCTGACTCGTTGGTGACATGACATGGCAGATTCTCCGCGCACAGAAAGACAGCTATTTGGCATGGAGGAGGAGACGTACCTTGTTGCTGCGTTGCTTGTGCAGTGCTCCGCATAACTTCGTTGTGCCCACGCCACTTGCTCCCCATACGCCCCTCCACTTGTTGTGCCTGAATAGATCTCTTCAGAAGAACAGAATTAGCGGCGCAATGCCTTCATCCATCCTCCGCCTCTCCAATCTCACCTTGCTGTTTTTTCCATCACTGCCAATCTTCTTTCTGCATGTGATACCTTTTGAGTGACTTAACTGAGGGAAGCCATTGTCCTGACTCTAGCCTCCACCTCCTGCATTGAGACCCTTAGAGATCCTCACTGACCCTCACTGAAGTCGAAGTGAGCGTAATGCGGTGAGGAGCATAAAGATCATAATGAACATAGTAAGCGAACCTGATGGGCATTCCTAGTAGTAGCCAGTCTGCAATGCCAATGCACATAGTTGGAATTTGGAAAGTACGAGATGAGAGCGAGTGATGGTAGGAAGAGAAAGGCATTCGTGCTGCTCACGCCCATGACAAGTGCTGCCCATGCCAAAGGAGCCGATATTGCAATGGTCTGTTCCTGCTGCAATTGTCTGTCTCTGTTGATTGTGCCCTAACGCCTGCATCAACTGCTTCTCGTGTGCCCCACGTTGCGCCTAATTAGGAACGTCGGGAGCAACAAGCTAGAGGGCAAAATCCCTTCGGCCATATTCCACCTTACCAAGCTCGCCTTCTTGTGAGTATCTCCACCTCACCAAGCTCGCCTTCTTGTGAGTATCTCCACCTCACCAAGCTCGCCTTCTTGTGAGTATCTCCACCTCACCGCTGCAAATGTGTCTTTCACCTCACCTGCTGTGGCTTTCATTTTGTTTCATCACCCACCCGTGCTGTGGCTTTCATTTTGTTTCATCACCCACCCGTGCTGTGGCTTTCATTTTGTTTCATCACCCACCCGTGCTGTGGCTTTCATTTTGTTTCATCACCCACCCGTGCTGTGGCTTTCATTTTGTTTCATCACCCACCCGTGCTGTGGCTTTCATTTTGTTTCATCACCCACCTGTGCTGTGCGTCTTGTGTGTGGCACACATGGCAGGGACCTTCGATGGAACTTGTTTTCTGGCTCCATCCCAACAGCAATTTCTCGCCTCCCTCTCCTCTCCTACCTGTAAGCGCGTTCCTCCCGGCACAACATATAAGGACAGGGACAGGTCATTTCTTGGCCCTTGCTACTTACGTGCAGCGACCCAGCACCCAGTCTCTGCTTCCGAACCATGTTATGTGGGACAGTGGGAGTGGGATGCCAAATGTCAATTATCACCTTGGTATCAGCACTATGGTGTGTGGGTTGTCTCGGGCACGGCTTGGCTCTGAACCATGTTATGTGGAGGTGGGGTATCACAATTCAAATATCGCCTTTGTATCAATACTATGGTATCAGCTTGCTTGCACCCAGGCAAGCCGCCTCCCTGTCGAGCCAAACTCGCCCGAGCCGAGTTTTACCGCCGAGCCAAAGCTCGTTTAGAGCCGAGCCGAACCTAACCTATCCAGCCGAGGAGGGGCTGTGCCTGCCTCGGCAAAGACCCCGCCTCATCTGAGTGTTGGTTGTCGCTGTCGCGGGTTCAGGTTTCTTCCTTGCAAGGTGACTTTCGAGTCGACTGAAAAGTCACCTCGCCTCAGCTGAGGGCTGGTTGTCACCGTCCGTTGCGGGTTCAGGTTTCTTCCTCGCATTCGCTTGGCGCATGGCTGGCTGGCTGGCTGGCTGGCTGGCTGGCTGGCTGGCTGGCTGGCTGGCTGGCTGGCTGACTGAGGTGGTTTCGATGCTAGTGATGCCTGAAAGCTGTCACTAGACTGCTCTCACTAGACTGCTCTCACTAGACTGCTCTCACTAGACTGCTCTCACTAGACTGCTCTCACTAGACTGCTCTCACTAGACTGCTCTCACTAGACTGCTCTCACTAGACTGCTCTCACTAGACTGCTCTCACTAGACTGCTCTCACTAGACTGCTCTCACTAGACTGCTCTCACTAGACTGCTCTCACTAGACTGCTCTCACTAGACTGCTCTCACTAGACTGCTCTCACTAGACTGCTCTCACTAGACTGCTCTCACTAGACTGCTCTCACTAGACTGCTCTCACTAGACTGCTCTCACTAGACTGCTCTCACTAGACTGCTCTCACTAGACTGCTCTCACTAGACTGCTCTCACTAGACTGCTCTCACTAGACTGCTCTCACTAGACTGCTCTCACTAGACTGCTCTCACTAGACTGCTCTCACTAGACTGCTCTCACTAGACTGCTCTCACTAGACTGCTCTCACTAGACTGCTCTCACTAGACTGCTCTCACTAGACTGCTCTCACTAGACTGCTCTCACTAGACTGCTCTCACTAGACTGCTCTCACTAGACTGCTCTCACTAGACTGCTCTCACTAGACTGCTCTCACTAGACTGCTCTCACTAGACTGCTCTCACTAGACTGCTCTCACTAGACTGCTCTCACTAGACTGCTCTCACTAGACTGCTCTCACTAGACTGCTCTCACTAGACTGCTCTCACTAGACTGCTCTCACTAGACTGCTCTCACTAGACTGCTCTCACTAGACTGCTCTCACTAGACTGCTCTCACTAGACTGCTCTCACTAGACTGCTCTCACTAGACTGCTCTCACTAGACTGCTCTCACTAGACTGCTCTCACTAGACTGCTCTCACTAGACTGCTCTCACTAGACTGCTCTCACTAGACTGCTCTCACTAGACTGCTCTCACTAGACTGCTCTCACTAGACTGCTCTCACTAGACTGCTCTCACTAGACTGCTCTCACTAGACTGCTCTCACTAGACTGCTCTCACTAGACTGCTCTCACTAGACTGCTCTCACTAGACTGCTCTCACTAGACTGCTCTCACTAGACTGCTCTCACTGGACTGCTCTCACTGGACTGCTCTCACTGGACTTCCTTTATAAGGAGCCTCGAAGGCAGGTGTGCTTCCAGGTTTGCCTTACCATGCTGGTTCACTTTCCGGTGAAGATGGTGCCGGTCAGATCATGTCAGATCATATCATAACACATCAAAGCATGGCACATAGCCGTGAGATAATGGCCAGGACTGAAACAGAGAGGTCAAGGGTAATGGTGTCAGTGAGGAGACACACCCTTCGTCATTAACTATGGCAGCAAAGGAGCATCGTCACTTGTGCCTTACTTATCATGCGTTGCTCCCCACATGCCCCATGGTGTGTGCCTTGCTCCCCACATGCCCCATGGTGTGTGCCTTGCTCCCCACATGCCCCATGGTGTGTGCCTTGCTCCCCACATGCCCCATAGTGTGTGCCTTGCTCCCCACATGCCCCATGTTGTGCCTGTGTAGGTCTCTTGGCAGTAACAAACTCACTGGCACAATCCCTTCATCCATCTGCAGTCTCACCAAACTTATCTTGTTGTGAGTCGACTCTTCTAGCCCACCAATCTTACCCCTGTTCCCGTTTGTGTGTTGGTCACCTAGAGATCTCCGAACCGACAAAAAGTACCCTTAGCCCAGGCCTCAACCCCTCCTCAACTTTTCTGTTCACGCATTTTCCCCGATGAGGGACGAGCCTACTAGGTGGCTCGTTGCCTAGTGGGTCCCTTAGTGGGCTCATTCTCTCAAACAAACGAGTCAGTCCCTTAGGGACGTGCTGCTGGCTTGTGTCTCCAGCCGTGATTGAGTCTGTTCTTTTGAGGCGCCTCAAAGTATGTTAAGAAAGAAGTTTCTTGATTGAAGTGGTGTAGTGATCTTCACGTGATATGCAAGCGTGTTGTGATGGAATTTGTGCATGCGGTGTGGTCAGTAAGTGGTTCACAAGCTAAGTCAGCGTGACATGATTGAGTCATTGATTTTTTTTGTAGAAAGGGAATGAGGAAGGTTACATAGCAGAACAGGGTAATGGTAGAACAAGGTCGAGAGAATTGATCCTGAGTCACGTCTGCATGCTGAGGTGGCATTGTTACAATTCTCTCACTTTATACAACATACATGGGCTAGAACAAGAGGTGTAGCGATGTTATGTACTGGGGGGGTGTTAGGTGTACCCTCAAACCATAGATTGTGGTTGGTCTGGATTGGTCCTAAACCTTGGTCCTCGGTTTGCATTTGCCAACCTTTGGTCCATGGCTCTACAAATCCCAATCAGCACACATTAGTGGTTGCAAGCTCACCGATTGGCCAACCTAGTGGCCAATAGGGCAGGCTTCACTATCACCCCTCTTGTGCTTGTTCTTGTACTAGAAAGCATCTTGGCTCCTTACTCCTAACAGGCATGACGTGAGATGAGATGAGATGAGATGAGATGAGATGAGATGAGATGAGATGAGATGAGATGAGATGAGATGAGATGAGATGAGATGAGATGAGATGAGATGAGATGAGATGAGATGAGATGAGATGAGATGAGATGAGATGAGATGAGATGAGATGAGATGAGATGAGATGAGATGAGATGAGATGAGATGAGATGAGGTGGCATGACATGAGATGAGAATGCTGTATAAACGACCTCATGGCCGTGAGACGAGGGAGCCTTTGGATACGCCCAAGTCACTCACCTCACCAGGCAGACGATTCCCAGCTTTTCCACGAGATAGTATGCCAAATGGTGAAAACAACCGTGGTGCGTTATGTAGAAGCAGCTACACTGAAAATATTACTTATGTCCCCGGGTGAAAACGTGGGGCGAGTATGTATGAAGTTTGAGCTAAACAAAAAATGGAGAAAGCGGTTTGAGTTGCTCCCTTTAAACCCTCGTTCCAGGCAACTTTTACCGCCTCACAGCTCGCTCACAATGAAGCCACAGTCCACATTTTAGTGTGTTTTCCATCCCGTCTTTGCGCTTCACACCGTGCGCTTCACACCGTGCGCTTCACACCGTGCGCTTCACACCGTGCGCTTCACACCGTGCGCTTCAAACCGTGACACGCATGGCAGAGAGCTTCGCTGGAATCAACTATCAGGCTCCATTCCCGCAGCCATCTCTAACTTGTCTGCCCTCGTGCACCTGTAAGTACGCCTATTGAGACGTTTCAAGTTTCGACACGTCTCAAAACACGCAGCCATCTCTGACCTGACTGCCCTCTCACACCTTTAAGTATGCATCACTGACTCTCAGCCTCTGCACCGTCATCTCTGGCCGTGCTCTGAGCTGGCCCTTGCCTATGCCCGTGCCTGCTCTATGCCCGTGCCTGCTCTATGCCCGTGCCTGCTCTATGCCCGTGCCTGCTCTATGCCCGTGCCTGCTCTATGCCCGTGCCTGCTCTATGCCCGTGCCTGCTCTATGCGCGTGCCTGCTCTATGCCCGTGCCTGCTCTATGCGCGTGCCTGCTCTATGCCCGTGCCTGCTCTATGCCCGTGCCTGCTCTATGCCCGTGCCTGCTCTATGCGCGTGCCTGCTCTATGCCCGTGCCTGCTCTATGCGCGTGCCTGCTCTATGCCCGTGCCTGCTCTATGCGCGTGCCTGCTCTATGCCCGTGCCTGCTCTATACGTGTGCCTGCTCTATGCCCATGCCTGCTCTATGCGCGTGCCTGCTCTATGCGCTTGCCTGCTCTATGCGCTTGCCTGCTCTATGCGCGTGCCTGCTCTATGCGCGTGCCTGCTCTATGCTCATGCCTGCTCTATGTTCCAGGTTATGATCGTTGCCTCAATTCTCTTCTTCCAATCAGCTGCCATTTATGCACACCGTCCTGTGCCCCTTGGCATTTATGCACATTGGCCAATTATCCAGTATTCTGGATCTCCTCTGCTTTATGGCCCCCATTTCGCCACTGCACGCCCCCCTCTCTCCCCTCCTCCCCACCCTCTTGTTGCTTTTTTCCGCGTCTGGGTTGTGTTTCTAGCCCGCCTGGCCTAGCATCAGACCAGGGGTTCTTAACCCTCCTGAACTAGAGTCCAGAGTCCAGAAGGCAGCATAAAAACTGCTGGATGCGTTTTTGGTACCTCCGCTACAAACCATGGCATGGCATAATGATATTGTGACCACATAGCTTGGCTTAATGATGGTGTGTCCACATGGCATGGCATGGTGATGGTGTACCAACAGAGACCTCAGCTTCAACATCAGAATCACAGGCTCCATTCCCCTTGAGATGCAGAGCCTTACCAAGCTCCGATTTCTGTGAGTGGGCCTCTGTTTTGTCTCTCTCCACCTTCCACTTGGACTCACCATTGACTGCCCACGCTGTTTTGTAATTGTGTGTGCATCTTCGCTGGTGTGTGTGCGCATGTGCACGTGTATGGGTGGGTGGGTGTGTGCGTGCATGTATGCATGGATACGTGCACATGTGCGCGTCACGCCTGTGTGGGTGTGTGTGTGCATGTGTGAGTGTGTGCGTGTGCGTGCGTGCATGGGTTGGTGGGTCGGTGGGTGGGTCGATGGGTGCGTCAGCGGATGGGTGCTTGCGCGTGTGGGGTGCGTGTGGGTGTGTAGTGTGTATGTGCGCAAGTGCGTGCATTGGCGTGCATGCACTCATTCTTGTGACTGCGTGTGTATTCGCGCATGTGCATGCGTGCGTGCATGCGTGTGTGTGTGTGTGTGTGTGCGCGCGCGCGCGCATGCGTCTGTGTGTGAATGGGTGCATGTGGCGGCATCCGCACATGCGTGTGTGTGTGTTTGTGTGTGTGTGTGTGTGTGTGTGTGTGTGTGTGTGTGTGTGTTGTGTGTGTGTGTGTGTGTGTGTGCATGCGTGCGTGCGTGCGTGCGTGCGTGTGTGTGTGTGTGTGTGTGTGTGCGCGTGCGTGTGTGTCTCTATGGTGCTGCACATGTGTGTGCAGATACCTCAGCTATATGAGTCTATCGGGCCCCTTCCCAAACTGGATATCTGGTCGCACCAAGCTCAGAATCTTGTATTGTATCTGACTGTCTATGGTCTCTGCCTCTCTATGCTCTCTGCGTCTCTATGCTCTCTTGCTCTCTATGATTTTGAGAATTCTCAGAAGTATGCTCACTGGTTCTCTGTACTCGTTTTCAATCACCCCTGGTCATAGAAAAGCAGAGTTGCATTTTGTTCGCCTCCCAGCCCTGCCGCCCTACCCCCCCACCCTTTTTATTTCTTTTTGAAGATAGGCTGCACAGCTGTTAGCTTCGTTGTTTGGATTCCAGCGTTCTTGTATGGATTTTTTTTTAGGCTGGTTAGCTGTCCATATGTAAGTAATTTCATCTGCAACCTATCCAACCTGATCCATCCTAAAATTCCTCGATGAACCCTTCCCCTTTATTCCCCTTATAACTATAACTCTCCTTAGTTAAGCAAAGTTGAACTATGTACTCGGCAATTTTATTTTGGTGTTAATGTTTGATGTGGGGCAACTGTGCATATCAGAATTTGCATTCATTCGTATTGTGCATGCCATGGTGCATGTGCGGCTCATTGCAGAGACGCTGCGCACAACAGCATCAATGGCAGCATACCAGAGTCCATCGGCAGCACCATCAACCTTCATGGCTTGTAGGAACCACCAGCCTTCCATCAGCCTTCTACCTTTGAAACCCATCCATCAACTTTCTGTAACCCGTCAACCCTCAAGCTTTGCAGCAAACCATTTCTCATGTTTTGTAACCCATGGAGACTCTAATTTTGTAACGCATCCACTTTCAATACAAGGTTTGTGAACCACCAAACTCTCTGAGCATTGTAATTTCTCCGAATCCTCAGGTCTTTGGCTTGTGGCAAGGCCATCACATGTCGCCATGCTATCCCATGTCCTCGTACTATCACATGCCATGCATTCACATGCGCTCATGACATCACAAGAACTCATGCCATGCACCTCATGCCATGCCATCACATGCCTTCACGTGCGCTCGTGCCATCACATGCACTCATGCTATTACATGCGCTCATAAAATCACATGTCTTCATGCCATCACATGCCCCCATACCACATGCCATGCCTTCACGTGCGCTGATGCAATAATGTCCTCATGCCTTCACATGCACTCATGCCATAACATGCAGTCATGTCAGTCATGTCAGTCATGTCAGTCATGTCAGTCATGTCAGTCATGTCAGTCATGTCAGTCATGTCAGTCATGTCAGTCATGTCAGTCATGTCAGTCATGTCAGTCATGTCAGTCATGTCAGTCATGTCAGTCATGTCAGTCATGTCAGTCATGTCAGTCATGTCAGTCATGTCAGTCATGTCAGTCATGTCAGTCATGTCAGTCATGTCAGTCATGTCAGTCATGTCAGTCATGTCAGTCATGTCAGTCATGTCAGTCATGTCAGTCATGTCAGTCATGTCAGTCATGTCAGTCATGTCAGTCATGTCAGTCATGTCAGTCATGTCAGTCATGTCAGTCATGTCAGTCATGTCAGTCATGTCAGTCATGTCAGTCATGTCAGTCATGTCAGTCATGTCAGTCATGTCAGTCATGTCAGTCATGTCAGTCATGTCAGTCATGTCAGTCATGTCAGTCATGTCAGTCATGTCAGTCATGTCAGTCATGGCAGTCATGTCAGTCATGCCCCTCATCCACTCCGCACTCCACTGCTCCCTATCCCTATCCCTAGCGCTCCCTATCCCTACTGCATCCCTTCCTCACTACCCCATCTTCACTGCTCCATATCTCTACTGCACCTATCCTTATTTATCCCCATCCCTCACTGCTCCCTATCCCTCACTGCACCCCGTCCCTTACTGCTTCTTATCCCTCACCGCTCCCTCAATGCTCCCTCACTGCTCCTTATCCTAGGCATGAGATGAAACGACAGGCGAGCCGAGTTGGGCTCAAGCAATTGGTTTCATCAGGTTGGCCCGGGTCGGGCCGAACCGGGTTTGGCCCAGCGAACCAGCAAGGTTCGATGTTCTTGGGTTTGCCAAAGGACAAACCCTAAACCTCAAATCTTAAACCCTAAACCCTGAACCGCCTCTTGGCACCGCCTGACACAAACCTTGCAGGGCTCGCCCCTGGGACCCTTGCGTGATGTTTAGCGAGGGTCCTTTTATGGACATGCAATGAAAATCTGAAGCTCATTTTGTTATCCGCCTGTGTCCACCCCTGCCCTCACTGCCGCCGCTGCTGCCATGCCATGCCCAGCTCCGTATAAAAGAACAACCCGTCAGACAGCTTTTGAGGCGCCTCAAACGTCGCCCCTGTGTACCCCTATCCACCCCTGTGCACCCTTGGCCCTCACTGCATGCAACAGCTCCGTGTGGAAGAACAACCTGTCAGGCAGCATTCCGGCTTTTGAGTCAACTCATAAGTCAACCCTCCTGTACCCCAATACCCCTGTGCACCCCCTTCCGCCCCTGTGCACTTCTGTCGCACGCAACAGCTCCATGTGGAAGAACAACCTGTCGGGCAGCATTCCCAAGTCCATTGGCAGCCTCACCAAGCTCAGCAGCCTGTCAGTCTCTCACCACAGGCTGCTGCTGCCCTTGCATCCGTTGCTGCTTTGGGGGGTGCTGCGCTTACTCTTGCAGCACATGCTGGTGCAGCACATGCTGGTGCATCCCAAGAGCTTATCTGCTGAGCCAGCCCACAAGCAGCCTCACCACCGAGCTCAGAAGCCTGCCTGTCAGTACGGTACCTCCACTGTCGACTCCCCTCACCAAGCGGTAGCTCTCAGACTTTTGAGTTTTCTCAGAATATCTCTTCTCAAAATATCTCATGTGAGACGTCGCAAACAGGCATGAGCAACAATCTTACCACTTGTTGTTATTTCTTATGTTCGCCATGGTGCGTGTTTTAGCGATGGAATCATAAACTAGGTTAAGTCTTATCTGGTTGCACCGAACCTGAACTGACCGCCTCTGGTTTGGTTCAAGGTGGCCCAGTTCGATGTCGATTCAAGCTCGCACATAAGGGTCGAACCTCGAACTCGCAAACCGATTCGACAATCGAACTGGGTCAAGTTCAAGAGCCTAAAATCCGAACTAGTTCGGCTTGGTTATGTGCTCATGCTTTACAGCTGATGAAGGGAGAGGAAAGGGGGCGCGGTACACTTCAAGAAAGGATATGTTCTCCGAATTTGTTTCTCTTATTACAGTAGTACATGACCAGAGCAGCAGCACCGTTTAAAGTGCCACCTCCCCTCCCCTATACAGGAACCACCCTATAAACTTCCCATGCCCTATAAACTTTTTTTTGCCTGCCCGGGGTTTTTTTGCCCTGCCCGGGCTTGCGTCTTTTGGTGCGTCTTACTGGCCCTGATCCAGCGTCCTGCGTCCGGACGCATGCGTCCAAGACGCAGGACGCGTCTTTCGCAACATAGCTGTGCAGGGTGCCACCTCCCCTCCTCTCCACTCATGTAGGAACAAACAGCTGATAATCGATGATGTCTCTGACAAGGCTGACGAGTGTGTTGCATTGCAGGGACTTGTCCAACAACCAGTATGATATAGCCTTTTGAGTATTTTTTAGAAATAGCAACTCAAAAGTCATCATGATGTGACTGACTGGGCTGGCGAGTGTGTTGCAGGGACTTGTCAGACAACCAGCTCGAGGGAACCATCCCAGAGGGCATTGGCAACATGAAGGATATTCGAAAACTGTGAGATCGCTTAGTGATTCCACCAATCTGGATTCTCACCTCCTGTTTTCTTCATCCAGTCATCATGCTGGGAATCTGCCCGACCCTCTGTGTTGCTCTCATTACATTCCCTCCTAGGCATGGGCATTTGGCCCGGACGGGTCGGGTTACCCGACCCGACCCTAGAGTTGAGCATTTGGCCCGACCCGACCCGACCCGACCCGATTTGGCCGGGCCATACGGGCCCTCGGGTCGGGTCGGGTCGGGCCGACCTCGGGCCAGATTCCCGAAACAGCTGGCCCGACCCGGGCCTACTGACTCGGGTCACGGGGGACCCGAGTTCGGGTCGGGCCGGGTCGGGCCAGGAAGACCCGCCCCTTTAGGGGGAGGGTGGGGGTGCTCCCCATGACTTGTACATTTTTTCTGGTAGAGTTGTTGTTACTCTATTTTTGTAGTACATGTTCTTCTTCCGCTTGAAGGTGAGATGGTTTCGTAAGCTGTGCAACAGTCGGTATGACATGTAAAATAGTCTAGGGGTAGCCAAACAGTAGAGACATCACAAAACACAGTGGCTAGTGGGGGGTACTTAGGAAGACTCAAAGACTAGGGGCTGTGCTGGCGTGGCGAGGGTGGCGAATGTAAATCTGAGGGGAAGAAATCCCCTCCGATCGATTTACATTCGGGCTAGGGTTTCGGCCCTAGCCCAGTCGAAATCGGGTCGCGCGCCTGGCCCGACCCGATTTCGACAGTTCCGACCCGAAATCGGGTCGGGTCGGGCCCGACCCGAAACCCGGCTCGGCCCGGCCCGAAATTGCCCCTCGGGTCGGGCCTTCGTGCGGGTCGGGTCGGGTCGGCCCGTACGGGTCAGGGATCCCGAAAGTTTGACCCGACCCGAGCAAATACACGGGTCGGGTCGGGTCGGCCCGACCCGAGCGGGGCACATGCTCATGGGCCGACCCGCCCAAAGGGCGGGTCGGGTCAGTCATGCCGAGCATGTCGACCCGTCCGGGTCGGGTCGGGTATACCCGGACGGGTCGGGTCGACCCGTGACCTGTCTACGTGATTTTTAGACGGGTATTAGCGACCCGCCGGGTCGGGTCGACCCGTCCCGTCCGGGTCGCGTACCTAGTCAAATGATAGGGTTACCCGACCCGTGATTTGATTAGGGTACAATTTGTAGAGGGGGAGAACGTCAGTTGGTTTCTTATGTTTTGTTTCCCCCTCGACATTCAGATCCAGTCTCTAGCCTACCAAGCCTCTTAGAGCCTTGAACTTAGTGTTAACACTATTTTAGACTTCTGAGTCAGGTTAGGCATAGGCGCTCCCGCCATTTCGCAGCGTCGCACGACCAGGAGCGCAGCAGCGCGCTCGCCGTCACGCATTGGCGGGATCGCGACCACGCAATAGCGCGATCGCGGCCCCGCATTTGCGCAGCGCAATCGCGGCCCCGCATACGCGCGATCGCGTCGCCGCTTTAGTGCAGGTCGGGGGCGGGCACGCATTGGCGCCACCAACTGCAGCGTTATATTTGTAACATGAATTTACAATGAAGCAATTCAAACTTAACACCCATACCCTGCTGCCCTGTAGCAAGTTTTGACCCGACCCGACCCGACCCGTGGTGTAACCGACCCGGGTACGGGTCACAAATACCCGTGCATACGGGGCGGGTCGGGTCATCAAAACAGAGTCAAACCCGACCCGCCGACCCGACCCGTCCCGACCCGTTTTGGTAACGGGTCGCCCTAGACGGGACGGGTCGGGCCGGGTCGGGTCAATTGCCCATGCCTATTCCCTCCCCCCCTCCCTCCTACCTCCACACACCACAACATGCCATGCCAAGCCAACACTGTGTGCACTGCACTGCAGCACTGCACGTCATGCCAACACTGTGTGCCCTGCACTCCATACCATGCAGTTCTGTAGAATGTACCTTCTTATCACTGGGGAAACGCCAGCACTGTGTGCTCCGTCATCTGTCACTGCGTGTGTGGCATGAGCTCGCAGGGATCTCTCCGACAACCACTTGACCGGCACTCTCCCCAACACCCTCTCTCGCCTTTCTGGCCTGTTTCAGCTGTGAGTCGCAATTCACGAGGCAGCAGGGGGCACATGGGTGTATAGGGAGATGGAAGCCTGGATGCATGGGACCATGGATGCATGGGCGGATGGATTGGGACATGGGTGCGTGGGTTTATGGGGAAATGGATATGTGGGTGTATGCATGGGGACATGGGTGCATGTGGTGTGGACATGGGCACATGGGTGCATGGGAAGATGGGTGTGTGGGTGCATGGAGCATGAACTCCTGGGGCACAGATGGTTGACTTGAGCGTCGGGCGAACTCAAGCACGTTTGTGCACTTTGTGCGGAAGGAAAACCTGGTTCAGAAATGCGAAAGGCCCTACGAACAGTGAATTGAAGCGATGGATACTAGGAAAACAATGGCTAAAACTATCAGAAAGTAAAGAGAGCTACTTCGGAGGCGACTTGGGCTGGTCCAGGTGATGGAAATGATACTCAAGGGACTTGGGGTGGCCAAATGGGTGCTCAAGTCGCCCACAGTCAAGTTGGGGACATGAGGGACCTTCAAAATGGGCATGTAATCGGCCCCCCTAGTCCTACACTATAGTCCTACTTCATTCAAGCCGTCACCCACTAAGGAAACCCTAAAACTGCCACATAAGGTTTCATTTTGCTACTAAAACGATGGAGAATGGTAATCTAGCCTTCGTTAGGCTGCTACTAGTACCCCATGCACTATACTTAACCTAATAGTTGGGATCGAGCTTTAAATGAGCTCTATTCCAACTTCCTGATGTAATAAAACCCAACCAGCGTTGCCAATGTCGCACTGGTTTTTCGGCGAACGGTTAGGTGTTTGTGTAACTCACCACCTAAACAATCACGAACATGAGGTTCGTGATTTCTTTCGTAAAAATTCTCAAACCTCGAACATCTTTGAGACGAACCGAACAGGCGTTCGAGATGCTGCTCATGTCTAATAGATGTCATCTTGAGTGATGTGAGGTCATTGGGATATTGGCGTGGTATGCCAAGTCAGGTTGGATACATGTTATGTTGTACATGTGGAACCTGACCAGCTCAGAACCAGGCTCGGAGAAAGCCTTGGATGAGAATCTCTAGAAAGAACATGATGGTGCAAGCCTACGGATTACATATGATATCATTTTTTAGTAATGCTTGAGGCAGCCAATGTCCTTTAGAAGGGGAGACTTGCTCAAAGGCGACTTAACGAATGCCAACTCACTCTAGTCTTTGGAGACAACAATGATGGGCAAACGTAATATGACTTGGATTGGAATGATGGTGAATGAAGAGGGTCTTCTCGAGGAAAAAGGGTATATTTCCTATCAGAGGACAACGGTTTCCACCTTGTGCCGATTAAGAGGAGCGTACTTGAGAACGTAAACCGCGCGATTCAACCACCATACTATGTTTTCTTTTTGTCAAAACAAAATAAGAAATTTCAATGTCAAAGATGTAAACAATTTCGTTGGGGGGGCCCCAGAGAAATGTGGAGGAAGCGTTCATGGACGTGATCTCCATTTTTTCTTGGGCTATATTTGAAAGAATATTGCTTACAATGGAAGGTTTGGGTGTGGGAGAAAAAATGCCTGAATAATTAAAGTACCAATTCTTAGTGAATCCTCCATATAGCACACTTTGAATTGTGGAGCTTCGTTACCACACTATTCCACTTGAGACAACCACTCTACTCGGACAATGTTGACTCTCAGAGGCAAAGACTTGTCATCTGTTGTGTACCAAGTATGTCCTAGAGGCTACTTTTTCGCCTCTAGTCTTTAAGATTGTAGGTTCAATCTCTCTGCATCTGCCCTTTCCCCTCTCATATTATACTCACCATGACATGTCCATACTCCACCACACTTACCCACAATAAAGTGTGGTCACTGTTGGCATTGCCTCCTGACCACTTATCCGATCCCCCCATTGCTGGCCCCTGAAGTGTGTCATAAACTGCTATGTGGGCTGTTGTTTTAGCCTAGCCCACATACGTAAGACGATGCCTCACTTCCTAGCTTGGCAAGGTAGGCTAGCCGTTCCCTCAACTTTGAGGTATTGTGGTTAGCCTCAAGATTTCGACCATGCATATGTGGCTTTCCACTCCACAAGAACTCATTTTTGTACAAAGTTGTTTGCTCTTGTCTTCAATTCTTGTCCTATCCAAGGACTATTTTGCTTCTTCGTATTGTACAACCAGATTCACCAATCCATTTTTTACATGCTATCAGAGCTACTTTTCCTGAGACTAGTCTTGAGACTAGAGCAAAAACTGTGTTCAAGGATGATTGTTAGAGCAAGTAAGAAGCCACATATATGTGCTGAACTTTTGAGGCTAGCTGCAGCAACTCAAAGCTGAGGGCAAGGCTAATCACCCTTGCCAAGCTAGCAACTGGGGCCTCATGTTGCACATCGAGGCCTCATGTTGAACATTGGGGCTAGCCTACATGGCAGCATATGGCACACTATAGGGGTCCGCAAGGTGAGTATAGGTTGAGTGGACAGATGACAATGTCAACTGTGACCACACTTCATTGTGAGTGAGTGTGGTGGAGTGTGGACATGTCATAGTGAGCATAATGAGAATGGAAAGTGTTGCTGCTGAGAGTTGAACCCACAACCTCTAAGACCAAAGGTGAGAATCTATCCACTGGGACATGCTTGCTGCACAACATGGACGAGGAACACTTGTTGCATCTTCAATGTCCTTGGGCTGATTTTCCTACTTGGATATTTCGAGGTTGCTACGTGCCCTTCTATTTCCTCTTCCACAACCAGCCGTGGAGAGACTCTTAGGTAGGATAGGAAGTACAAGTACAAACGTCATGTTGAAATCTAACATCTGATTAGCGAATGAATGGGCACATCAATTCGCACATCAAGTGGATGATCGTTGGTTGCTGGGTGATGAGGCACCCAGATGCTCATCAGCTTACCTGATGGTTCTCTCTGCTCTTGTACAGGCTCCCCTTGAGGCGCCCCAAAAAATGGTTCACTCTCTTAATTCCACAGGTTCCTCAGCCGCAACAACCTGAGCGGCTCATTTCCTCATTGGATTGCAGAGATGTCTAGCATTGGGTGGCTGTGAGTGCATTGCAACAATTGTAATTATTTCTCCACTGTATGGTCGTGACTACTTCCAATCTTCAACTGTGGTATTGACATGTCACATGTGCACTACCCCCCTTGTTCCGCAAGGAGACATGCTATATAAGTAGGAATCAGTGGGTGGAGTGATATATGCACGGCACGGCAATCATTGTATCACGCCAGCTTATGGCATTGCCAGTGTGATCTGTGCTGTTCTGCTGCAAACAACCCATGCGTTCATTGCAATCTTGCGTGAAACTTACTTGCACCTATGAGGTTGTGAGAATGATGCTCTGTGTTGCTCCTCTCGTATGCTGCGCTGTCTCATGTACCATCTGTGTGCCCTTGTGTTTCACCCTCTATAACACACATGCATATGCAGTGCCGTCCACACCACCCACATCCTTCCCACACATTTCTGTCTCCCCACCCTCCTCTTCCCCCTGCCCCTCCTGAAAACGGCCTACGGTCTGTCTTTGGGAATATGGGGGTGCTTGTTCACCAGTGGAGCTCATCATGTTGTCCCTGTTGTTTGCCGGAGTAGGGTTCGTTTGCTGTCGTATTTGCTACTCCTCACCGCATCCTCCCATTCATCACATTCGTGTGGCTCCTTCCATCGTCTTTGATGGTGTGTGGTTGCACGTCCATTGCATTGCAGATACCTCGATGACAACAATTTTTCAGGCCCCGTGCCTGCTGCTCTTGGCGGCTCCAAAGGCCTCATCTTTCTGTGAGTGACCTGCTTAGGTCGCATTCCTGCGCAGGGATACCATCCAAGGGTAGCTTGTGCAGCAGCAAGAAAGAATTCAAGAATTCTAGTCTAGAATTCTAGTCACCTCTTAGTTCGAAAGGTTGGGTGGGTGCTCGAACCAGTCCTACGCAAGAGCATGCTACATAATCTCGATGTATTGGGTGGACTTTGCCAGCTCAGTTTTCTTAACTCCCTGTCACGTTGCGTGCAGTGAACTCACATCAACTAGCAGCTTGAATGAATCACTCATATTGCGGATTTTATGCTATGCTGTCTAGGTCAGGTTATATAAGGAAGAGTAGGCGAACAGCATGAGAAATTGGTCACCGTGTCCATGTTAACGGGAGTTGGAAGTTGGCCCATCCTCGCTTGGGCGGAGCCGACTTCGTGGTCGGGTGTGCGGGAGGTGCAGCCGACCGACTGCAGTGGGCGACGCCGACTTAGGCAAGCAGGCGACGGAGTTGGTCGGCCTACATGAGGTCACTGCCGTCGACGACGAAAAGCGGCGGCCCACTTCGACTTTGTGGTCGGGCAAGTCGGCTCGGTTAGCCGACTTGGGGATCAAGTTGGCATGGTTGGCGGACTTCGACGGCGAGCCGACTGGGATGCAGTCGGTTACAGCTGAACCGACTTCGACGAAGCCGGCCAAGACTGAAGGTCGACGAAGGAACTCGCCGACCTGGGAGGGGCGCCGACTTGTGGGCGCCGACCTGGGGAAGCTGACTTGGCAAAGTCGGCGAACAGCTGGTGTGGTGGTCTTGGAGTTGGTCGACCTGTGAAGTGGCCGACTTGGGGAACTCGGCTAGTGGTCGTCGACCTGGATGGTCGACAAGCGCCTACAGCAGTTGGTCGACTTCTGCCACACAAGTCCCGGGCGACAAGGTTCTGCAGGGTGTGCGACAGTCGGAATGGAGGTTTTGGCGAAGCCGTCCTCGGAGTGATATCTCGAGGTCGACGTGACTCATCTGGCGCCGCTGTCGGCACGTGGCCGACCTGGCACCTGCGCCGTGCACGTGACGGTGCACGTCACACCAACCGCCTGCGAGCACATGTGAAGTAGGTGCGCGCATATGCGCTGCTGTCACCTTCGGATGCAACGTTGGACGGCCGCCTTGCTGCAGCGCTGGCAAGCCGCCGACTTGTTACATTGGCAAGTCGCCACAGTGCAGTGCTGGAGTGCGGTCGACTTTGCAGTCCTGGCAGGTCGCCAACCTTGCTGCGCTAGGGGTCAACCTGCCTATGTGCTAGGCACACTTGCGTCTGATGTAGTCATTGTTACAAACTCTGTTGCTATCATTGTTATGAACTTTTGCTAGTGAAACGCTTGCCGCTTTGCTCCATGAACAAGAAAGTGCTAGAGAACACAAGGAACGCTACGATCACTCACTCAACCCGTGCCTTCCCCCATACTCTAGCTCGCACCCCACCATTGTAGAGTGTCTCTCTGCAGTCCAAACCTCGGATGGTGCCCTGCATAGGATTCAGCCTCAGTCTAAACTGCAACAAGAGCAATCGAAGTTGCTGCTAGTGGATTCCATAACTTACAAGATATAGAGTATATCTGCTTAGTGTCTTTGCAATTAAAGTGTTTCGGAATGCCAAAAGCAACAAAAGAAAGGTTCAAAAAATGTGGTTTTCTTTTAACCCTGGCAACCTTGGCTCAGCTTGACCCCTTGTTCAGGCGAAGTCTGCACAATCATCCCGCTTGCATTGCACCATCATGCCCTCTTGAACCACCTTGCCCTCGTGCACCATCATATCCACTTGCTTTCCCTTTTCATTGAGGGACATATGTGAGACACATGTGAGCCGCATAATACACATCATAAAAATATGCAGTCCCTTTCCCGTGTTCTCATCATGCCTTGGCTTGGCACTCCCATTTGATGCACTTAATAACCCTCCGCCCTGTTTCACCCCCTCCATCCACCATTGCCTTCAATCCAACAGTGAAATGTCAGATTCTGGCCTCACTTGCCCCACAAATGCTTCCAGCTGTGTGGTTCGACAAATCAACTACAGCGCATTCTGCCAAAACTGCAAGGCCTTCTGTGCCACGTGCACAAGTGACAAATGTGAGGTTTCCGGTTGAGACGTTGCAGTTTTTGAGAGCTCTCAGAATCTGCTGTAGCTGCACGAGCCTCTGTGTATAGGTGCCTTCTAAGGCGCCTCAATATATTTCTGTGCCTCAAGTTTAAAAGAGGTGCTGGTGAGATGCTTGGAACACGGAGGTGACTTTTGAGTTGAACCAAAAGGTGCTTCTCCTATGACTATAAAAGCTTCTGTGCCACGCGCGCAAGTCAAAACAGATGTGAGCTGCTTGGATTGTTGCGAGTAAAAGAAATCGTGGCGGTCAATGCGTTACATTCCATGATTATGGGGTAGCTAGCTATCTGCACACTTTCCAGTCAATAGAACTAGCCGCTGCTAATCAAGGATAAGTCGTATTGGTCAACGCAAAGTCGTGCCACTTAACACTAAGTCTCACTAATGATTAATTAATGCTAAGTCATGCCAGCCAATACCAATCCCACTTATTGATGCAAAGTCATGCCATTCAAGGCGGTCCCCACTGCCATTCAATTTGATCCCCACAAATCAATGTTAAGTCATGCCATTCAATGCGATCCCCACTTTTTAATGCTAAGTCATGCCAACCAATAAAGCTAAGTCATGCCAGTCAATGCTAGGTTATGCCAGTAAAAGCGAACTTGTGCTGGGGAATGCCAGTTTGTGCATGTTATTCCATTCATGCCTTCCAGCTTCATGCGTGCAGAGCAGGGTCACTAATTTCACCACTTGTGTTTCTGGTTCTTCAATGCGTGCTTCAATGCTTGTGAGTCTGGTGTGCCGGTGCATGTATCCCTCCAAAGCAGCCCCACCCCCATCACCATACGTGGCCTCCCCTCCACCATCCCCGTCACCCAATCAACCCGTCAACCCCTCCTCCACCTCATCCGCTTCCTCCTCCCAATCTGGCCTGCCTGTGGGGGCTATCATCGGCATTGTGACAGCAGCCCTTCTGCTCTTGCTTCTCCTGCTCGCCTCAGCTTGGTGGTTTGCCATTCGCTCCAATATTTCCACAGAAGGTAGGTGTTGTACTTGTACGTGTTTGCCTTTTGTCCTGCATGGAGGCACAGGTGCTTGAGAACCACCTCATTTTCTGTCAGATTTCACCAACGAGCAGCATATCAGCTCCGTGACTTTGTCTAAAATAACTTACAAAACCGCTGTGTTCCCCGCTGTGTTTTCCCTCACAAAGCAAAAATGAAGAAAAGATTGTGTCCTTTTCCATACTGTACTCCCGACAGACCCACCCAGCCCGCAATTAGGAAATGCAACGACACCATGCCGGCGGTACTCGCTGGCCGTGGTGGCTCGTGCGACCAACAACTGGTCCAAGGAGTGCCTGCTGGGGTCGGGCGCTTACGGAGACGTGTACCGCGGGGTATGCCCCGAGGATGGCACCACGCTGTGGGCCGTGAAGCGCGCCAAGGTCATCACCGCTGACTTCCACAGAGAGGTGGGCGGACACTGTTGGGAATTCTCAAATGTGTAGACGGGCCGAGATCGTCATCACCAACTTCCACTAAGATGTGGGACAATGCCGGAGTGAGTGTTGTGGGCTGCTCAAATTGGGGAGGGACGTTGTTGCAACTTCTCAACCAATTTCGATTGTGAGACTGGATCTTTTTACTACTGCTTTTTCGTTTCGGCCTTTTTGCTATCAATTAGTTTCGTATGTACATGTTCTATGAGTACCACACTGCTGAAATGACAATGAAACGGCAACGTACAAGAAACCAAGATGCTTGTACATTGCACGAACATCCGCCTATTAGTGCTGCATTGTGTCAGCACACCCATCCTTCCTTGCCTCCCTCCCCTCTCTTGGTCCATCACAGGTGGCGCAGATGGCAACGAAGCATCATCCCAATCTGGTGCGGCTGCTGGGGTATGTCAGCTCCTGCCCCTCTCCGTTCACAAGCACGTGTGCCAGTCCCTCCATCCATCTTTTCCTGCGCCTTTCTCTTCTCTCGGTCCATCACAGGTGGCGCAGATGGCAACGAAGCACCATCCGAATCTGGTGCGGCTGCTGGGGTATGCAGTGGGAGGCCATGTGAACACGCGGGTGGAGAACATTCTCGTCTACGAGTTCATCGCCAACGGCGACCTGCGCCAGTGGATCAGCCCAGGTACAGTCCTGTCCACACTTGTGTAGCATGTCGATCGGCCATGGTACTGCCTGGTCCATCCATTGCTGTGTGGCACCTGGATCGCCCCAGGTACTGCAGTGTCCATGGCCAATGGCGACCTACACACCTGGATCGCCCTACGTACTATCCCGTCCATTGTTGTGCGTCAACCATGCTGCAGTGGATCGACCAAGGTACCATCCGGTCCATCCATTGTTGTTTGCTGTGCCAAATATTAAGTTGTGTGAATTGAGAAATGCAGAAGAGAACTAGGAAACAAAGAAAAGGTGAACCTGTTGAGTCATACCAAACCCGACGAGGCAGCGAGGTCCGTGACTATTCACGAGCTGGACCCGGCCTTTACACATACTTTAAATCTGCTGTAGCCCGCAGATTAAAAACTCCATTGCATGCCTTTGTTGGTTCTGAAGTGCCTATCACACTCATTTCATCTGCAAGTTACCGGCTCCAATGCTGCTTTTCTCCAATGCTGCCTATTCTCCAGATGCGCCCACAAGCTTGACTCTGCAGCAGCGGGTCGACATCCTACTAGGGGTGGCGCGTGGGTTGGAGTATCTCCACAGCTTTGGCCTCGTGCACCGCGACATCAAGCCAGCCAACATCCTCATTGATGAGCACATGCAGGTGGGATGTTTACATGTTGGCAAGACACTTGCTTCACATGCAGGCGTGGCAGTCGGGCGTTCATGGTCGACATCGAAGGGAGTACAGGTGTGGTGATCACAGGTTCGTTCATGATGACGAATGGAGTGCAGGTGCAGCAGTAAGGTGTTACAGCCATCAGGTATAACTTATCCCATGTGACTCGGATGAACCCATTTTGCCCCAATCCTCCTCCGTCTCTCCTCTTGCCTGTCTTGCTCGGCCTTCCCCAGGCGAAGGTGGCAGATTTTGGGCTTGTGCACGTGGGGGAGGGCACGTCATCAGGCTTCACTCGAGTGCTCGGGACGGTGGGCTATGTAGACCCTGCTTACTCCCTCACGCACAACGCCACCACCACTGCTGATGTTTATAGGTGCGTGCAGTGCAAATTAGAATGCAATTTCTTACAGCAAGTTGGACTCATATATTAAGTCATGTGACATGAAACCACCATCGTCACCAGTGTGCACATACACAATGCACCCATGAACTGCAAATGGACAGTAAATGCCACGTGTCAAACAGCATTTTGGATGGTGATGTGGTTTGAACCTTAGCCTCTACTTTACTGAATGCGCATTCAGTGAAAACATTAAATACAAGAAAATTGAGGCTCAATGCGCGTTCCAACATCCCAAAATAACTACTTTTCCCTTCATCAGCATCTCATGCCCCCACTTGCACTCGTTACTCTCATGGCAAGGTGGCTCTAGGCAATGATTTGTTGTCATCCCCAAAATTTATACTTCTCCCTGCCTCCCCTAGTGTTTCTCAATTGAATGTGTTCCGGGGTGCAGCTTTGGCATCATGTCGGTAATTCTTTCTGGCAAAGGAGCCACCACTAATGCGATGCGACGAGCCTTTGTAACCATGGCCTCCGAGAATAGCCACATGATAAAAGTAGTTTCTTGAGACGTCCCAATACACTACTTTTATCAGAGAAGCCACCATCAATGTGGCAAACCTCCGTGACCATGGCCACGACGAGCTCATCTGAGGGGAGCTATTCCTTGTCTGTGCTTGGGTGTGTTTCGTGGTGCAGCTTTGGCGTGCTCATGCTGGTCATGCTGACAGGCAGAGGAGCCACCATCAACACAATGAGCCCAGGCGCTGAGCCAATCTCCATCTCCAAATGGGTGTGTTTGCAAATGGGGTGTGTTTGCAAATGGGTGTGTTTGAAAGTGGGTGTGTTTGCAAATGAGTGTGTTTGCAAATGGGTGTGCTTGCATGGGTGTGTTTGCAAATGGGTGTATGTGCAAATGGGTGTGCTTGCAAAATGTGTGTATTTGCAAATGGGTGTGCTTGCAAATGGGTGTATTTGCAAATGGGTGTGTTTGCGAATGGGTGTATTTGCAAATGGGTGTGTTTGCAAATGGGTTGTGTTTGCAAATGGGTGTGTTTGCAAATGGGTGTGTTTGCAAATGGGTGTGTTTGCAAATGGGTGTGCTTGCAAATTGGTGTGTTTGCAAATAGGTGTGTTTGCAAATAGGTGTGCTTGCACATCAGGAAATTGTTTCAAAAATGTTCTGCGTGACCTCAAGCTAATCTCCATCTCGGCGTGTTTGCTCTTCCCACTCCCGCCCGTCAATGTATGCACTGTTCTTTCCTTCACGCTCGAATCGCAGCTGCTTAGGCTCGTACTCATCAGGGTTCCCTTCGCCTGTTGTGCCCCAGTCATGAGTTCCCTGTCCCTGTCATGTGCTTCAAGCCCCCCATCATGACATTCCTGTCCCCTTATCATTTCCGTCGGGCCCCATTTCCCAGGCAATGGATCTCATGGCGGAAGGGAAGACATCGCCCCTCAAGGACCCACGCATGGAAGCACCAGAAGACATCACCATCCGCCTCGCCCACCTTGCTGTCACCTGCACTGCCATGCCCACCGCCTCCCGCCCCTCCATGTCCCGAGTGGCCCAAGACTTGGAGGCTATACAGGAGGAGGCAGGAGGGGGGGATGCGAGAGCGCGAGCTGCAGTGAGGGTTGACGAGAAGCTGTCGAGTCAGCGGTTACGGAGGAGCATGGAGGAGGATCTTGCGATGCTGAATGAACAAGTGATGCACGAGGGTGACGCAACTGCTGTCTTTGTGTGACAGCTTGTGAACAAATAGTATCATGATCTAATACCATGATTTGGTTATCTATCAGGGTATGGGTGTATGTACTCAAATTATATAAGGCAAATATCTGGTTCTCATGTCGTTCTGCGCCATTGGAGGGTAGGCCTATGCGCTGAACCATTCTACATATCTTCACGGTTATAAAAAGTGATAGATTTTCCTAAGTCTCGGAAGGAAAAAATGATGGGGTGGCCATTATGATAAATCAGACAAAGTTAACTCCTAGAACGGATCCAGCCAACCACCATGCATTGTCCCTTCCGCCCCTCCCTTCAGTTTTAACGGGAACGGGGTGTTGACCCCCCCTTGCTTGGGTGACGCCGACTTCCTAGTCGGGTACACAGGAGAAGCAACCGACCGTAGGCAGTGGTCGATGCCAGCCTTGGTGAGCAGCTCGACGGGTCTCGTCGAGCTCCATGGACCGTTGCGACGCTGCCGTCGTAGGGAAGCTGATGGCCTACTTCGACGAAGCAGGTCGACAAGGTTGTCGTCGACGTGCGCGGGACTGCCGCGGAGCTGGAGCCGTCGACGAGGGGAGCTCGACGACTGCTTCTTACCGAGCTGGTCGATGGACGGGCCGTCGACCAGGAGGGGTCACCGACAGGCGCGGTAATCGATAAACGAGTTCGTTGACTAGGTCGCACGACCATGTTACCTCGGCGAGGTTCTGCGGAGGCATGCAAATGTCGTCGAGGCTGCGATGGCGAAGGTGACTTCGAGCTGGTATCCCAAAGTCGATGTGGCTGACCAGGCGCAGACAAGAGCCGACGGGCGCGGGACGGTGCATGTCGGGCCAATCGTCTGCGAGCACCTGCGAGCATGTGCGTTGCTGTCATCTACGCATGCAACGTTGGACGGCTGCTTTGTTGTAGCATTGGCACGCCATCGACCTGCCCTGTTTGCAGGCCGCCTCTCTGCATGCTGGCGCGGTTCTTTTACGCAACGCTGGCGAGCGGACGACCATGCTGTGCTGGCGGTCGACCTGCGTGGCTGCTAGGTTGCTAGACTTTGATGAAGCCATTCTTGTCATCGCTTGTTTAATTATTATGTATTCTCAACTTTTGCTAGTGAAACTCTTGTCGTTTTCCCCTGTGAATGCACAAGCACAGACGAGTTACTAACACTCTCGCCTGTGCCTACCCTCTAGTCTAGCTCACTACCGTTGTAGAGTGAATCTCCGCAATCAGTACTTGTCAACCTTCTTCCATTCTCCATGGATTGGTACACATGCGCCTCTTTCAGCAACAGAAGCAGCTCCCCTCAAGGCCCACTCCAGCCCTCGCCATTGACCCTCAAGGCCCCGTACCCACACTCTATTGGGCCAATAACAGTGGAGGTTGTAGGGTCTCAGCTTAAGCAGCTACTACTGCAGCCAAAGCTCTGGGCACTTCACCAGCAGCAGCTCCCTTCCTCCCACACCACACCACCGCATGCCCCGTTCACCTCAACATCACACTGCTACTGACCTCTTCACCCTTCCGACTCTCCCACCCTGCTAGAGCGTGCCTTCTTCCTCCATGCTGCCCTCCCCACAGGGGTCTTAGGTAAGCTTGTAAGACAATATGCCAACTGTATCGGCAAGTAAGCTTGGAAGACAACAGTGGGTGGGCGATCAGATGAATGCTTTCCTGCTCCGTCCTTTCCCCATTGCACCTCGTCTCCTCCCTGTGCCGCTCACCTTCCTCCTGCACGCCCTTATTAGCTCCTCCTCTCGCTGAAAACCATCTTCAACTTCCTCTGCTCCGCTTTCTACCCGGCCGGCCCAGTCACTCGTGTTGCTTTCGGTTCAGCAGATATGCCAACTGTATTCGTAGGTAAGCCTGCACTTGAGTCATCAGGTATTACTCCTTTTTGTTTCCCTCCTTCCTCTCCTCTGCTCCGCTCTCTTCCCAGCGGCCCAGTCACTCATGCGCCCTTTGGCTCAGAAGTCATGCCAACTGTATCGGCAGGTAAGTTTGAACTGTCAAATAGGTCATCAGGTGGTTTCTCTCCCACTCCCTCCTTCCTCTCCTCTCCTCCACTCTCTTTCCCAGCCGGCCGGCCCAGTCACTCGTGCGCCCTTTAGCTTAGATGACATGCCAATAGTATCAATGGGTGAGCTTGACCATTCTAGTGAATCATCATCAGATGATTGCTTTTTAGCTCCTGCATTCCTTTCCTCTGCTCCGCCCTCCTCCTGGCCGGCCCAATCACTTGTGTGTCCTTCGGCTTTGCAGACGCAGGTAAGTCTGAAACCACTAAGCTACGGCTCTCCAGTTATGAGCTCCCCAAGTCTTTCCTTACTGCCTATATTATACCGAAAATTGAACCATAACTCCTTTTGAGCCTTCAAATCTTTATTGACTTGTTTCAAGTGATGTTCACATCACGTGTTACAACATTGCACATCTCAACTCGATCATACATCACGTCTACCACATTCCACATCACATCCCACAACACAAATCGCACATCAAATGCCCTTCTTTCCCATGCATTTCCTTATCCATGCATGGGTGCCCCTAATGCCTAGCACCTGTACGGCCCTTCAGTCCTCTTCCTCCAAACCGTGCTCTTCTTTTATTATTCTCAGAAGTGGAACCACCCATGCCTCTCTTTCCCATGCCGTACCCTATCCAATGTCACTCAATCCCTTGGGGTGGGTGGGTGGGTAGGTGGGTGGGTTGCCATGCCTCGCAGGTTCGTTTGACAGCTGGCAGTTGTGTCGCCGCGCTGCGATCCGCCCCGAGACAAGCCCCCCCGTGCCCACCACTGCAGCAGCTGCGGCACATGCGTGATGGACATGGTCCATGCCCCTTCGTGAGTATTTTTTTTTGTTTTCCTGGGTTGTAAGTCCCTCTACCATGCCATCGCTATCTTAAGCACTGCAGCAGCTGCGGCACATGCATGATGGACATGAGTCATCTTGCCTTCCCTACTAGGTAGCTTGTGGCATCAACTTCAGCATCACCACGACTGCTGCAGCTGCGGCACGTGCGCCATGGACATCGATCATCACTGCCCCTTCATTAGTACCTTGTGTGTCTCCTTAATATGGTGTGGTGAACACACATCTATCACCATCACTGCAGCAGCTGCGGCACATGTGTGATGATGGACATGGGTTATCACTGCCCCTTCATGCGTCGCTGCCCTTCTAAGTACCTTGTGACTCAAAATATCACTCTCAGAATCAGCATCAGCATCAGCATAAGCATCAGCATCAGCATCAGCATAAGCATCAGCATCAGCATAAGCATCAGCATCAGCATAAGCATCAGCATCAGCATAAGCATCAGCATTAGCATCACCACCACCACCACCATCACCATCACCATCCCCACCACTGCAATAGCACAGCATCATAAACATGGGAACATCACTGCCCGTTTTTTAGTACCTGCCCTTTTGGGTGATGTGTGTTTATTCACTGACCCAAACATCTCTTCTATCCTTCCCATCTCTCCCTCTCCCTCACTTCCCTCTCAGCTCTCCCCTCCCACCCCTCCAGACTGGGGAATTGTGTGGGTGAGGCACTTCCTGCTCTTCCACCTCCACGATAATCACCTGCTCCTTTGTCGCCCACCCTCTATCTCCTCCTCGCCTTTGCTTTTCCCTCTCCCTCTCCCTCTCTCTCTCCCTCTCCCTTTCCCTCTCCCACTCCCTCTTTCCCCCTTCTGCTCTCCCCTCCCACCACTCCAGATCAACTACTGTGTGGGTCAGGCCAATCAGAGGCATTTCCTGCTCTTCCTCCTCTTCACAAAAGTTAGCTGCACCTAAGTCACCCTAATGTCCGCAACCACCTTCTATCTCCTCCTCCCTGCACTCAACGTCACGCCTCACATGCCCCACAACCCCCCTCAGGATCTAACCTCTTTCCACTCCACTGCCACAAAAGCTTTCGCCGCTGCCATTTGGGTGCCCGGAAACAACTCCCAGTCCGGGCATACATCGCATTTTACCTCTTTATAGTCGCACTCGGCACAGGGATTTTCGTCTCGCTGATGCTGTACCAGCAGCTGGACTCTATCTTATCCGGAGAAAGGGGTTATGTAGACGTGTTAAAGGCGAAGAAAGGAGCTGGAAATAACAAGGTGATGTGGGATGGGCCGAAAAGGGTAGTGCCCTATGGGATGGGCCGAAAAGGGTAGGGCTGAAAAGGGTAGTAATGGATTCACGCAGGAAAGATGGAAGCTGTTGGCCTTGTGGGGATGGGGTTTGGTTGAGATTGTTCAATTGCTCTGGTTCCGAGGTTTCTAGGGCTCAGAAGGGGGTGTTCGGATCTAGCAGTGCATGATTCTGGTGTTGTCCTCAAGGCACCTAGTGCATTGCTAGCAACAGCAAGTAACAATGGAGTCAAGGATATTTGATCTAGCTACTTAGTTGACCATTGATTGATTCGAGATGGACAGAATGTGTGTGAAGGACCATCATCACTTCACAAGCTCACATAAGTAGCCTGGGGTGAAAAAATCCACTACGCTAAAGCTAGATAGGGCAATCATACAGCACAATTATTGAAGACGTCCACTACAACACTATTATGGATTAATCCCTGAAAGATCATAAAAGCTTTTTTCAGCCCGACATGGTATGAGAGCTAGAGAGATTGCGTTCTCCTAGAACACGGTTGATGCACCTGCAAATGGAACAGGAGGCGCTAGAGGATCTTCCCCGCCCTTCATGCTCAGCCCCGACGGAGACGGTTCTGGAACTGGATCGCCATCAGCAGCCATTGATCCTGCAATACAGGTCTTCACTTGCTTGTCAATGTTTATGGGAGAAGCATCACAGGTACAACAAACACTGTCAGAGGTCCGTTGGAGATCCCCGATTGACCTTAGGGAAGGGATACAAGCACGTTGGCCTAAGGGGTTATGAGAGCACTTACCCGCTACACAAACAAGTCATTTTATCCCAGTGATTTGGGATTCTAAAATGGTATCAGAGCGAAGGCATTGGGTTCGAATCCCGGTGCGGTGTCAGATTTTCAACGGTGATTCCCGATTGATCCTAGGGAAGGGTTACAGGCACATTGGCCTGGGGGGTTATGGGCGCACTCACTCGCTACACAAACAAGCCCTTTAATCCAAGTGGTTAGTAGTTGGGATTCTGACAAACACCACAAGCATCAACATTGATGAATGTGGGGATGACACCTATGAATGTCGATAGTTTATCTTATTCATATCGTTAGCCAGTTCCTTATCGAGTTCCGCCTCGCAAACAACTGCAGACCTTCTTCGCGTTTGTACATTTCTAAGTACCTGCACAGCAGCAGCAGCAGCAGCAACAACAACAACAACAACCTCATCCCGCCCTCCCCACTCTCAGCCCTTCCTAACCTCTCTCATCTCATCCTCCCCTCAATCATCCCATCATCCCCTCTTTCATCCCTTCGACCCCTCTCATTCTATGCTCCCAACTAACACCCTGAAATAGTGCCATGAATCGCCACTGTCATGCGCAATGCGACAAGTGACGCATGTGCCTTTAGAGTGAAAGGGACAGATGGGGAGCGATGGAGGACGTGCGGGGGGGACGGAGAGGAAACTTAACTGAGGAGAAGCGTAGAGGTTGAAACTAGCTCATCCAAGGTAGCAGCACCAAGCAGCAGCATCTCCATTCCTCAAACCGTCGTACGCAGCAAGTCGCCATTCCACACACCTTGGCGCGCGGCAAGTCACCACCCCGCACACCATCCATACGGTTGGTCACCATTCCGCACACCGTTGCACGTGGTTGGTCGTCATTATACGCACATCGTCGCACACGTAAGTCGCCTGTATTCAAGACTGCGCACGCATGTAGTTGTCAGTGTTGGTGCTCCTCATCACCGGCGCCAAGCACGGCGTCACGGCGACTTGCTGTCCTCTCCGTCCCTGAACCTGTTTACCGTGCCGTTCGCTTCTCGCCACCGGCCGCTCTCTAAACAACACTCAACGTTCGAAAATTTGCGATACATCGTCTGCCGCTCGCTGATGTTTCACATATGTGCTAGTGCCGCTGGCTCTTCGTCCTTAGCCATCTCGCCTCCCGCCGTTCGGCCAGTTAATAGCGGATGGAAATTAGGCTTGTCGCCACGGTCGCTATGAATATTAGCAAATTAGCAGCGGTAGACATAGATATTGGAAAATCGGAGACAATTGCTATGGCTGCTAACAGATCGGCGACGGTCGCTATGGTTGTTAGTGGATCAGCGATTCGCTGAAGCTTAGTTGATCATTTTGCTAAGGAGCCCAGCAAAGCAGCAACGGTCTTACGGTTAGCAGAGAAGCGGTGGTGGCTACAGAGCGAGGAAACGCTTTGCTGCGATTGGCGGCGACAACTTTATCGTAAAAAAAGAAACTGTGCTCTGCAGGTGGCGGTCTGCTGTGTGCTGTGGTTGCTAAGTACTTCGTTGCTTGGAATACGTGTGTCGTGGAACGAGAGTTATCGGTGTTTCGGTTCACAAAATGCATGGCCCAGACTCAAATTCCCAACTCTCATTACCCCCGTCGCTACCGATGGGAGAGAGACTATCCGCGCAACTCCGCCAATACTGAAAATTTCTTCATGTCTTAGCCGGAGCCATAAACTAGGGAACTGTAGAAGGCAAGGGATAAACCTTTGGTCCACCCTCCCCCAAAGTGCACCCTTGCTTTTATTTTAGGAAAGATACGGTAAATGGTGTGACTAGCAAAAGTTGGGATACAAATACATAACCCTAAATGGTTGTACTCCCTCTTGCATGCCTCACAGTAGCCTACCAAACATTTGCAACAACTGACATTATCGCCTCTAATAAGACTAACTTTCTGTCAGTCTTGCCCGAAAGACGTATATATCGGTTTCGGCCAGAAAATTTTCAGGTTTGCGGAGAGTGAAACATACAACTTGAGAGCGGTTTTTATGTAATTTGTGTTATATTCTTGTTTGTTATGTATTGTTCGTGTAAGCCCAGCAAACCAGTGTAATTCTGCTACATAACCTGTAATGATTTATAGCTCATTACTGTATGCTGATATTATCGAGGACATTCCGAGGGTCTCGCGCTAGCGGGATTCGGCCTTCGATTTCGCCCCGAAGCACTCCCGAGGTGCCATCCCACCGTTTGCCACCCTTCCGAGCCTCGTCTAGCCCGGTGTCCTAGCCTAGCTCGTTCGTGCCTTTTTCACCCTCGTTTTAGACAGTTCATGAGACATTCGTAGTTCCCTTTTTGAGTGCATGTCATCTCGTTCGTGAAACCGGCGCACTCATAACACAACCGAACATTGACTTACGTTCGGTAGTTTTCGGACGTGGCTCACTCATTGACTTAGGTATGGAGTACGAGACCGTACACACAAACGACGGAATGCTGATACCCTCCATTACTTTTTGGTTAGCGCAAGAACTTCTTGAACGCCCAGCCGCGCAGAAAAAAGGGGTAGTGATGCATCCGCTATGGCAAGGTCGCGTCGCGTCGCCGTTCTTCTCGTCGCATTCATACTCTTACTCACCTCGTCGTCCTCGGCTGTCATAACGCTCAACCCTTCGCAAGGTCGGTCGCGGTGCTGTGCACGTTCACAAGTACCACTATTTTCGAAAACATACCTGTCACGAGTATTAACGGGTATATTATGTACGCTACTACGCCGCCTATCCGCGCACAGCCTTTCACAACTCTCGCGGGCATCTTTCTCAATGATGCTCGGGTCGCCGCTGCCTCCAGCTTTTTCCAGAGGCTTCCCACTCGACCCGGGGGCGTTTTTTCTCAATCGACTCAGGGTGGCACTCATTTTCAAACTCCCGTCATTCTTCCCACGGCTTTCCTATCCCAAAAGCACTGCCAGTGGTGAATGCTTTCTAACCGTGTACTTCCCCATGCTACCCTCTCCGCCTGTGTACCCATCGTCTCATCCCACAGCCGCCGCCCGTGCCTTCTCTCCTCCCGCTTTTCGCCTCCCAATCCTGCTCCCCACTGCTCGGCCAATCCACCTCCTTCTCCTCCCTCCACTTCTGTTCCGCAGCGGCGGTCCTGGCGGAGTGTCAGGGGCAGTGGCAGGCGCAGCTGCGCGGATGGAGCAAGGGGGGGGACTGCGCGCAGGTGGAGGGCGTGCGCTGCAATGCGGCTGGCTTCATCGTCTCACTGTGCGTGCTGCAAGCCTTCCCCTCCCTCTTCCCCTTACCTCCCCCGTCCCTTCCCCCTCCCTCGTCCCCTTCCCCTCCCCCGTCCCTTCCCCTCCCTCGTCCCCTTCCCCTCCCTCCCCTTCCCCTCCCTCGTCCCCTTCCCCTCCGTCGTCCCCTTCCCCTCCCCTGTTCCTTTCCCCTTCCCCATCTCTTTCCTGTCCTCAGTCCCCCTTTTTTGAATACAATTCTCAGTTAACTTCATGAATCAACGCCGCATCACATGCTCTGCTGTACTGTGCATCGGGGGGGGAGGCATTATGAGAAACGATGAACCAAGCCTGCTGCACCACGCCTGTAGATTGCATTCACCATGGCTGTTGGTTGCATTCACCATGGCTGTTGGTTGCATTCACCATGGCTGTTGGTTGCATTCACCATGGCTGTTGGTTGCATTCACCATGGCTGTTGGTTGCATTCACCATGGCTGTTGGTTGCATTCACCATGGCTGTTGGTTGCATTCACCATGGCTGTTGGTTGCATTCACCATGGCTGTTGGTTGCATTCACCATGGCTGTTGGTTGGTTGCATTCACCATGGCTGTTGGTTGCATTCACCATGGCTGTTGGTTGCATTCACCATGGCTGTTGGTTGCATTCACCATGGTTGTTGGTTGCATTCACCATGGCTGTTGGTTGCATTCACCATGGCTGTTGGTTGCATTCACCATGGCTGTTGGTTGCATTCACCATGGCTGTTGGTTGCACTCACCATGGCTGTTGGTTGCATTCACCATGGCTGTTGGTTGCATTGCATGCACCATGGCTGTAGGTTGGTTTTCACGCCACACTGCCATACTCCACGCATCATGCCTTGAGCCATCCCAATGCCCCCCAATGCCCCCCAATGCCACCCAATGCCCCCCAATGCCCCCCAATGCCCCCCAATGCCCCCCCATACCCCCCATGCCCCCCACCCCAATGTCCTCCAATCTCACCCCGTGCCCCCCAATGCCCCCCAATGACCCCCAATGCCCCCCAATGCCCCCCCATACCCCCCAACGTTCCCCCCATTCCTCCCATAGGAACGTGACTGGTAAGAAGTTGGAGGGAACCATTCCAGATGCCATTGGGAACCTCACCGCACTCACTCTACTGTATGTCACAGCATGCCACAATGAGTTCCATCCAGGCCAGTACATGCCATGCCAGGCCAGCATGCCACTATGAGTTTCATCCACTCCACCCATGGCTGGTTCGGCCTTTTTCCAGCTGCATGCAATATTCAACCTATTGTGAATCCCTTCTTACCTCACAAGCCTGCCATAGATACATACACCCCCTCAATGCCGACCATTTTCATGCCATCCGTCCCTAGTGAGTTCTTGGCCCTGCGTCTCAAAACTTGCTTGTCTTCCTCCCCGCCCAACATACAATTTCCCTTCATCCAGTGGTCTCTCAAGCACCAAGCTCACTGGCTCTCTTCCAGCCTCCATGTCTCGCCTCACCCGCTTAACAGAGCTGTGAGTAGCACGTACCCCATGCTACAGGCGATTCCACATAGGTAACGGTGAGTTATAACTTCCCTACTAGGTCATATGCTACACACTCATGGTGACGGTAGGATGAATGGTCATGGTAGATGGATGGAGATGGCTGGATGGAGGTTGCTGGTAGGATGGCTGGATGGTGCTGCTGATGGGATGGCTGGGATGGATGGTGCAGGGCAGGTTCACAATCAAACAGCTCTCCACTAGAGCTTGACTCCGGCTGCTTTGTTGCCAAGCGACTCCTTGACATAGCATGGCATGACATGAAATGACATGACATATGCACGACATCATGTTTTGCCCTGTTTCCCCCCTTTCCCCCATCTGACTGGCATGGCAGAACGCTCAGTTTCAACAGTTTATCAGGCTCCATCCCACAAGGCATTTCTGGACTGGCTGCCCTCTCACGCCTGTAAGCATATCTCACCTCGTCCGTTGACCATGCCATGTCATACATACCACGGCACCAGATGTAGTCAGTCAGCCACATACCGAAGAACAAATTGAGTCCTAAAAAAATGAAGAGAAAAAAGCCTTCGACGCATTTCAATGCTGAATACACGCCACGAAAAAACATATCGCCCCTTTTTACCCCCAAACAAACCCAACTCCCTCATCACCTCCTTCCCCTCTCCTCACCCACCTGACCCCCAAGTTTTCTTCCCGCCCATGTCTGTTTTAGCCTGCTTGCCCGGGCGTCAAATTGAGGCGAGGTAAACAGTTTCACCCAGAGGGCGTCAAGTGTTTTGACTCTAGCGTGTTGACGTCAGTGTCAAAACCACTTTGACCCATGAATTCCATCACAGCTTTAGCAGTTGTTGGGGTTGTCGTTGGTGCATGCCAGATCCTCTGAGCACAGAACGGCAAGTATTTGGCATGGAGGTTGAGACGTGCCTTGTTGCTTGTGCACTGCTCCATATAACCTCGTGCCCACACCACTTGCTCCCCATGTGCCCCTTGCTCCCCATGTGCCCCTTGTTGTGCCTGAATAGATCTCTTGACAATAACAAGATTGATGGCGCCTCATCCATCTTCCGCCTCTTCAATCTCAACTTATTGTGAGAACTTCTCTCCACCACTGCCAGTCTTCTTTCTGTATGTGATACCTTCTAAACGCTCTAACTTAGGGAAGCCGTTGCCCTGGCTCTACCCACCCACTCCTGCATCATGGCCCCTCACGGGCCCTCACTCACCCTCACTGACCCTCACTGAAGACAAAATGAGCGTAATGAGCAGCTTGAAGTGCATAATGAGCATAATAAGCAACCCTAATGGGCATACGTAGTCGTAGCCAGTCTTCAATGCAAATACACAATGTTGGAAAGTACGAGATGAAAGAGAGTGGTAGCAGAGAAAGGCATTTGTGTTGCTTATGTCCACGACAATTGCTGCTTATGAAAAGTGCTGCCCATGCTGCAATGGTCTGTCTCTGCTGCTTTTGCGTTTATGCCTGCATCATCAACTGCTTCTCGTGTGCCCCCCATTGTGCCTCGATAGGAATCTTGGAAATAACAAGTTGGAGGGCACAATCCCCTCGGCCATATTCCACCTCACCAAGCTCGCCTTCTTGTGAGTGTTCCTACTTACTACACAGCTGTCAATCTTGCAGATTTGTGCGTGCGTGCGTGCGTGCGTGTGTGCGTGCGTGTGCGCGCGTGTGCGCGCGCGCGCGCGCGCGTGTGTGTGTGTGTGTGTGTGTGTGTGTCTGTGTGTGTGTGTGTGTGTGTGTGTGTGTGTGTGTGTGTGTGTGTGTGTGTGTGTGTGTGTGTGTGTGTGTGTGTGTGTGTGTCCTACAAGCCATGGTACCCTGGGGGCAGGGCACCTTCTACAGCGCAAAGATCGTGCTGCTGGTTTGGCGGAAGTAAGCGGCAGTTGCACTGCCCGACCCGACCCATCAAAATGTGTCGTAAATTGTGTTTTATATGCAATGCAAGCTTACCCAAACTGCCCTTCCTACGGAATGTTTCACTTTGATTTGTAACCCACCCGGGCCGTGCCGTGTGTGCATGGTGTGTGGCGCACATGTCATGGCAGGGACCTTCGATGGAATTTTTTCTCAGGCTCCATCCCAGCAGCAATTTCTGGTCTCTCTCTCCTCTCTTACCTGTAAGCTATCCTCAGTTGTTAGGCTCCATCTGTAAGCGCGTTCTGCACATCAGGGACAAGCCGATGCTCAGCCCTTGCTACTTGTACCGCCCTTGCTATGGCCTCTGTCTCCAACACACAGTCTGTCTGTGAGTCAGGTTATGGCCAGCCCGTGAGGGTCCGTGAGGGATGTCACATTTTAAATATCACCTTGCACCTGGTCAAGCTACCTCCCTGTCTAGCCAGGCCGCGCCCGAGCCAAGCTTTCCGCCAAGCCAAAGCGCGCTCTGAGCCGAACCTCTCCAGCCGAGGCACCGTGCCTAGCTGGGCAAACGTCTCGCCCCAGCTGAGCGTGTTGTATGGCTCTCATGCCAGCTGAGTGTGCTCACATCACAGGCGTGCTCACATCACAGGCGTGCTGACAGGTGGTCGCTGGCCTCAACAAGCCGTTTTGGTAACCGTGGCAATGCGGAGTGGCAGCAAAGGAGCTTCGTCCCTTGCGCCTTGCTTGTCATGCCTAGCTTCCTTCCCATATGCCCCTTGTCGTCCCGTGCTCCCCATATGACCCATGTTGGTTGTGCCTTGCTCCCCATATGGCCCATGCTGTGCCTGTGTAGTTCTCTTGGCGGAAACAGGCTCACTGGCACAATCCCTTCGTCCATCTTCCGCCTCTCCAATCTTGCCCTGTTGTGAGTCTACTTCCCAGCCCACCTATCTTGTTCCTGTTCCTGTTTGTGTGCTGTCCTGTGTACGTAGATCTAGAGAGCTCCAGACCAAAACACTGTACCCTTTGCCCAGGCCTCACCACCTCCTCCTGCAAAGTCATCTCTTGACTAGCCTTCCTTTTTTGTTCAGGCATTTTCACCATTGAGGGACGAGCCTAGCGTGGCTCGTTGGCTGGTTGTTCCCCAGGTTGGCTCTCTCTCACAAAGAATGACTCGGTCGCCGAGGGACGCGCTGCTGCCTTGCGTCTCCAGTCCAGCCGCGATTGAGTCTGTTCTTTTAAGGCGCCTCGGAAGACTGATTTTAGATTTTTGGTTTCTCCGATTGATGTGGTGTAGTGATCCTTACATGATATGCACGCGTATTGTGATGGATTCTGTGCATGCTGCGGTTACTCAGTGGTTTCGCAAATCAAGTTAGTGTGACATAAGTTAGTCTCATTGGTCTGCAATGAGGAAGGATGCATGGCAGAACAGGTTAAGGGCAGAACAAGGTCAATAGAATTGATTGTGAGTCAGGTGGAGGTAGCATGAGATGAGATGAGATGACATGAGATGAGATGAGAATGCTGTATTAACGGCCTCAAGGCCGTGAGACAAGAGCCCCTTGAATAAGCTAAGTCCGTCACATCACCAGAAAACCTACCAGCTGTTTCTTGAAAAAGTTGTGCCAACTGATGAAAACAAACATGGTGATGGTGGTGATGCAGAAGCAGCTGCACTGGGAATGCTATGCCCCTTGATGAAAACACGGTGCCTCTTTGGATGGAGGTTGAGCTAAACGAAACGTGTTTTGAATTGCCTCAGCACCCACCTTAAGTCCTCTTCAACCCTCTTAAACCCTCTTTAATCTTCTTAAACCCTTTTAAACCCTCAGGCTACTTTTATCGTCTCACAGCTCACTCATCCTGAAGCCACAATTCACCTCCCTTGTGCTTCCCATCCCATCCCTGCGGTGCGCTTGACACCATGACGTGACACCATGACGTGACACCATGACGTGACACCATGACGTGGCACCATGACGTGACACCATGACGTGGCACCATGACGTGACACCATGACGTGGCACGCATGGCAGAGAGCTCCGTTGGAATCAATTGTCAGGCACCATTCCCGCAACCATCTCCCACCTAACTGCCCTCTCACACCTGTAAGTATGCCTCAATGACTCTTGCTTAGCCTCACTGACTCTTGCTTAGCCTCACTGACTCTTGCTTAGCCTCAATGACACAGGTGCGCCCAGATTCACACTGATTTCAAGTCTTGACATGTAGAGCCCACGATTGCTGTTAATGCAGAGCGCATAGCATGGTGGTGATGACTTGTCCACATGGCATGGCATAGTGATGTTGGTGTGTCAACATGGCATGGCATGGCATGGCATGGCATGGTGATGATGTGTCCACATGGCATGGCATGGCAATGGTGTGTCCACAGAGACCTCAGCTTCAACATCAGAGTCACGGGCTCCATTCCCCTCGAGATGCAGAGCCTTACCAAGCTGCAATCTCTGTGAGTGAGCCTCTGTTTCCCCTCTCACCACATTCCACTTGGACTCACCATTGACTGCCCGTGAATTTCTCCTTTCCGTGAAGGTGTTGATTTGTCGTAGTTGTATGTGCATCTTTGCCGGTGCGTGTGTGTACGCATGCACGAATGCCATGTGTGTGTGTGTGTGTGTGTGTATGTGTGTGTGTGTGTGCGCACGCGCGCGCGCGCGCCATGTGTGGGTGCGTGAGTGCGTGGGTGTGTGCGTGTGTATATGCGTGCATGCAAGGGTATGTGCTTGCACACATGCATGTGCGGATGTATGTGTTTCTGTGTGCATGCGTGTGGGTGCGTGGATTTGCGCGTGTCTCTGCGTGTGTGCATGCATGTGTGCATGTGTGTGCGCGCGCATGCGCCCGCGTGCGTGTGTATGTGTGCATGCCTGTGTGCGTGCGTGTGTGTGTGTGTGTGTGTGTGTGTGCGCGTGCGTGCGTGCGTGCGTGCGCACGTGCGTGCGTGCGTGCGTGCGTGCGTGCGTGCGTGTGTGTGTGTGTGTGGAGGGGGGTGCATGCGTGTGTGTGTGTGGAGGGGGGTGCATGCGTGTGTGTGTGCTGCTCCACATGTGTGTGCAGATACCTCAGCTATATGAATCTGTCGGGTCCCTTCCCATCCTGGATATCTGGTCGCACCAATCTCAGAAAACTGTATGCTCCCTGTGCTCTTTTTCACCCACCCATGGTCATAGACATATATATTAGCGTTCTTTTCCTCTCCCGCCCCTGCTCCACTTCCCCCCAATGTACCTCTTGTTTGATTGAAGACAAGCTGCACATTCGTTAGACTTGAATTTTGGGTTCCAGCTTCCTTTTATCCATGCTTGTGCAACTATACCCCTTGTCCATTCCGCTTACGCCATTGTGCTTGTGGGGCTTGTTACAGAGAGGCCCCGCACAACAGCATCAGGCATGGCAGCATACCAGAGTCTATTGGCAGCACCATCCACCTTGAAGTCTTGTAAAGCCACCAACCTTTATTGTTTGTGACCCATCAGCCTTCTACTTTTGTAAAATTATCAAGCTTCTGGTTTGGAAACCCATCAATCTTCAAGCCTTGTAACCATCAACTTCACACCTTACAATTTCTCCAACTCGTTCATATTGGGCTTGTGGCATGGCCATCACATAACTGTCCTCATGCCATCACATGCCCTCCTGCTATTACATGCCATGCCTTCACATGCGCTCATGACATCACATGCACTCATGCCATTACATGCGCTAATGAAGTCACATGTCCTCATGCCATCACATTACTGTCCTCATGCGATTTCTTGCACTCATGCCATCACATGCACTCATGCCATCACATGCACTCATGCCATCACATTCACTCATGCCATCACATGCACTCATGCCATCACATGCACTCATGCCATCACATGCACTCATGCCATCACATGCACTCATGCCATCACATCACATGCTCTCGCGGCATCACATGCACTCATAGCATCACCCTATCCCTACTGCACCCTATCCCTACCTACTGCTCCCTATCCGATGCTCATGCTCATGCCTGCCCTATTCATCACTGCACTCTATCCCTCCCCGTGCCACAGCTCTCACTCACGTACTCCTATCCGCCCCTCCTGCACTCCTATCCGCCCTGCATGCACCCCTATCCGCCCTGCATGCACCCCCATCCGCCCCTGTGCACCCCTGGCCCTCACGGCATGCAACAGCTCCCTGTGGAAGAAAAAACCATCAGGCAGCATTCCCGTTTTTGAGTCGACTCGTAAATCGACCCTCCTGCACCCCTATCCACCCCTGTACACCCCTATCCTACCTTGTGCACCCCTGTTGCATGAACAGTTCCCTGTGGAAGAACAACCTGTCGGGCAGCATTCCTGAGTCCATAGGCAGCCTCACCAAGCTCAGCAGTCTGTCAGTCCTCTCACCACCACCTGCCCTTGCATCTGATGCTGCTTCTTGTGGTTCTGAGACTTTTGAAAGTTTTGAAAATATCTCACATGAAGCGTCTCAAATAGGCATGAGCAACAATCTGAATTCTTGTTGTTGTATTTTCTTCTTTTGCCATGGTAGTTATGCGTATCTGCCTAAGATTCCATGTTTTAATGCTTGAATCACAACCTTCGCTAAGAACTACCTGTGATGAAAGTTCTGGTTGCACCAAACCTGGACCGTTTTGAACCGAACCACCTCTGGTCCAGTTCAAGCTGTCTTGGCCGATCCATAAAATCCGAACCTCGAACTGGCAAACATGTTCGATGTCGATCTGGTTCAGGTTCAAGAACTGGTCCGGTTTGGATATTTGCTCTTGCCTAGTCCCAAAAACATCCTGTAAAAAAGTAATTGCAACGCCACCCTTTCACTGCAGGTTACCCTTGCAGCTGGTGCAAGGAGGGAAGAGGGGCAGCAGTACACTTTTATACAGTATATGTTCTTTTGTTTAGGCACCTTAAAACCTGTTTCTCTTCTCACAGTAGTATATGACCAGAGGGGCAGCATCACTTGCTTGCTCCCAAAACTTCCCCATCTCTGCTCCTGCTCCTGTTTCACGAGGGTATCTGCTGTGCAAGGTGCGACCTCCCTTCCGCTCTGCTCGTCTCATGTAGTAAGAACAAACAGCCGATTTTTTATGATGTGATTGACAAGGCTGATGAGTGTGTTGCAGGGACTTGTCAGACAATCAGCTCGAGGGAACCATCCCTGAGGGCATTGGCAACATGAAGTATATTCGTAAATTGTGAGGCTTCTCATTGATTTCTCCAGTCTGGATTTCCACCTCTAATCTTCTTCATCCAATCATCATGTTAGAAATCTGTCTGATTCTCGGCGTTGTTTCCATTGCATTCCCCCTCTCTCTTGCACCTCCACAACATGCCATGCCAACGCTGTGCTGCGGAGATAACTCTAGTAACAGGAGCTAGGCTGCAGGCTAGGCACGGGTGCTCGTGTGATCTCTGCGTTCCTCGGTCCTTAGTCATTTTCCTAGTGCACACACTGCTTGCTAGTTCACAAGGCAATTTGGCAAGAGTTTCACTAGAGAAAGTTGACAACAATGATACAATGAAGTTGGCTAGGAATGTCCGCGCTGCCCCGGTCGACTTCCTTGCTTCGCTGGGGCGACGAAGTTCGCCTGCGCCAGCAGCTCCTGGGACCGCTCTGCCTCCTGCATTGCCTCGTCTTGCAGGATGTACGAGGTTAGGTTGTCCTCGTTGAGCGTCGCCCTCGTGCTCGGCGCCATGGACAGCCGCTTCAACAGGTTGTAGCTGCTCCGGAGTCCCTGCATGACATGGGTGATGTACGACGCCGTCGAATACTCCGCACCGGCCATCCTGATGGTGGCGAGAATTCGCCGGGCCCGGTTGCAGTAGTCGGTCGCCGTCTCCTCGTCGCCCATGCGCAGGTGCGTCAGCTGCCCTTCAAGCTGGGCGATAAACAGGTCGTCGGTGACCTGGTACGTCGACTCGATGAAGTGCCACGCCTGGTGGCCGGCGTCGAGGTACTCCCTGCACCACTTCAGGGCGATCTGCACGCCCGGCGTGCAGCACCGCGAGATGACCGTGAAGGTCAGCAGCTGCACGGCGCGAAACTCCGCACGCAAGTCGGGGTCGCTCGGCGTCGCCACGGTACCACGAGCAAAGTTGATGAGCCCGGCCATCTCCAGCTGGGGCTCAATAGCTTCCTTCCAGGTGAGAATGTCGGGTCGGCCGACCAGTAGGGGAGTCACCGAGATCCTATCCGGCGTAAACTTGAAGTAGCCGTAGCTCGGTGCAATCCCGCCTGCTGTCACCTGGGTTGCCGACATCGGCACGGACCCACTCCGTCGACCTCCGACGTCGCCCTGCGAGAACCCTGCAGCCGCCGACGACCGCATTCCTCGCGTCTGAACGCCGCCGACTTCGTCGGCGTGAATCACACCACGCTGCCTCGACGTGCCTCCCGCACTGCTGCCGACTTGGTCGCCTCCGGCGTTGACGCCCACGTCGACGCCGCCCTCGGTGTTCACCGGTCGAGGAGAAGCAGGCCGAGAAGGGTGCTCCGTCGCCCACAAGGAACGGATGCCAGCATCGACGACCGCCCACGGCAGGTCGCCATACTCGTTGGCCTCGTGCTTCCTCCTCGCGTTTTCCAGCCGTGCCTCCAGGGTGTCCACCACCCCCGTGTCACCTATGGCGCCTACCATGGCGACTACCGCACAGCTGCCGGCCTACGAACAACTTAGGTAAGGTGCAACTAAGTCGACTAGACTGAAAGGTAAGTCGTTGTGCCGTCCACGCTCACCGCACCATGCGGTGATAACTCTAGTAACAGGAGCTAGGCTGCAGGCTAGGCACGGGTGCTCGTGTGATCTCTGCGTTCCTCGGTCCTTAGTCGTTTTCCTAGTGCACACACTGCTTGCTAGTTCACAAGGCAATTTGGCAAGAGTTTCACTAGAGAAAGTTGACAACAATGATACAATGAAGTTGGCTAGGAAAGACTACATCAGAGCTAGGATGCAAGCAGGTCGACTGCCAGCGCAGCACGGTCGACCGCGTGCCAGCACGACTTGGTCGACCGCGCTCCAGCAGTGCAGAGACGCGGCTTGCCAACGCTGCAGGTCGACGGCGTGACAACAGCGCAAGTCGACGGCGTGCCAGCGTTGCTCCTGCAGTCCAGCATCGCACCCGCTTCGCAGGTGCTCGTAGATGATTGGCGTGCACTGCTTCGTCACCTGCACAGCGCACACACCAAGTCCACCTCGTGCTGACGACTGCATCTGATGCACCACGTCGACCTCGGGATACCATCACCGAGGTCGTCCTCGCCAAAACCACCTGGGCGACCTTCGCAAGCCTTCGCAGCACCTCGTCACCCAGGTAACTTGGTCGACCGGGCAACCAGGTCGACCAGAGGCTCCAGTGCGTGCCCGTCGACCACCCAAGTCGACGGCCACCTCTAGTCGACCTCCCCAGGTCGACCACTATCCCCTGGTTGACCAGCTGCAAGTCGACGTCCCAGGTCGACCAGAAGGGCTGGTCGACTTCCCAGGTCGACCACCCGAAGTTGGCGCCCTCCCGAAGTCGGCGCCCATGCAGTGGCTCCCCGTGCAGGTCGACCAACCTCGTCGACCAACTCGCCCACTGCTGCAGGTCGGCTGCACCCTACACCCGACCACGAAGTCGGCTCCGCCCAAGCGAGGACGGGGCCAATACACAACTCTCGTTGACACTCCCCTGCCGCGTTCACGCTTGGGCCCCCCAGCCCACACGGCAGCACCTCTCGGAGAACAGCTCGTCGACGTGCACCCAACACACAGCACGTCGTCCACCGCACCAGCCATGCAGGAGGGCATGGCACCTACTGCTGCACGTCGTCGTCACCGCCGCCCATGTCAGCCAGACGCACTTGGCCGATGGCGACGGAGCACCGGTTGAAGGCCGGATAGTGCAGCGCCTTCGTGAGGAAGTCGGCCGGCTGCTCAGCGGTCGGGATGTATTGCAGCGCAAACTTCCCCCGCTTCACCATGTGCTGCAGCCAGGCCTGTCGCCGCTCCATGTGCTTGAGGTTGCCCGTCAACCCCATGCCCTCGGCGACTGTGATGGCCGACTTGTTGTCCACCCGAAGGACGGTCGGCTTCCCAGCATCCAGCTGCTGGAACTCTGCGAGGAGGAAGCGAAGTCGGCGTCCCTCCTTGCCGGCTTCGACGGCCGCCACGTACTCCGACTCGGTCGACGACAGTGTCGCGCACTTGATGCGCTGGCTCGACCAGGAGACCGCAGCCCCTCCGTAGACGAACACGTAGCCGCCCGTGCTCGTCCTGCTCTGCTTGTCACCGGCGTCGTCGGCGTCCACGTAGCCGACCAGCTCCAGCGACTCAGGTCCACCGCCGAACTCCAGGGCGGTGTCACGCGTGTTGGCGAGGTAGGCGAGGCAGCGGTCGACCTCGCGCCAGTGCTGGTCGCTCCTCACCGTGAGGCCGCTCCCCAGCTTGCTGCAGGCGAAAGCGAT